ATTGAGAAATGCAATGGATCGTAACACAGAAATGACAGTGGGAGAATCGGCTGCCTTCTACAATATTCCTGTAATATTGGATTCTTCATCTACACGATTTGCTGTTGATGATACGATTGAGACATTAGCTTACAATATGTTTATTGAAACGTGGATTAGCAACGCATCCTACGAGTTGTTCTTCGACGCTTGTGCACCAAAACAATGCACCTATACATATCATTATCGATTTGATGCTCTAGAAATCGTAACAACCTTTTTGAGTATATTCACTGGTCTGTCTAATGGGTTGCGATTTTTCGTCCCTCATTTCGTTGTAATGATTGAAAAAATAAGAAACCGACTGCGTGTCGTGCCGGTAGAATAATTTCTATTGTTCGACTTGCTGCTATTCAAGACTATCAGGATGCATGACTTGAAGCATAGATTTTTATGTTGTAATCATCAAAATTGTTGCTCATATTCGCTATTCTATTCTAATAAAAGGTTAATTTAGCCTCTGTCATTAGATGCATGACAGATTAACCTCGAGAAACAAGTCATATTGTCTGCGGAATAATCCACACTTGAGCTGTTCCTAATTATATCCTATTAGAAGAAGACAACAGTGAGATATAATAATTATGAAGAAGACTCGAAAGTAACCAACCGCCTCTATTCTTAATCTTTGAATACATCGAGGAAAGCCTCAAGTCTAAAATAAAGTAGGGAAGGTTCAGTCTTTCGATCTTCTGTACTTGTGTAATAGCTATTCAAAATGTTGTGTAAAGGAATGACTCTGATTTGCTCATGCTTTTATTCTCAAAATTAAAAAAAACATGAAGACCACTTGAAATTTCTCTAAAATCTAACTGTATTACTAGTAAAATCATATTTTATTATCATTTTCGTGATACTGTTGCTTGCAAGGACTTTCACACCAATGATACTATTGACAAAATAGTTTCTGTAGGTAACACCGATTCTTTATGTATTCAGATAATGATATATATTGAAAACAGATATCGAATTATGTGAACAAGAAAGTGATTTAAAAACGAGAAGTAAGCAATTCAATAATAGATTCCTGAAATATAATACAACAAATATTGGCCTGATTGATTGTGAACGCTCGTTTAAATATGGGAGCAAGCCTATCGTTAATACTTCGAAAAAGTGACGAAATATGCATAAAATCTATTGTGTTTTGTTTTTTCTAATTAACTACATTCATTCTTTAGTATTGTTTGATTTTGATATTTAGCATGAATTAATTCTATTCTTTTATTTCATTTTTTTTTTATTTTCAATTTAATTTAATTTAATTTAACTTGATGTTATAATATATTTCAAAATAGTGATGTTTCATGTCTCGATGAGATACTTCATCAGACATTAGATTTAAGACAAATGACACATAAATAAATGTATTAAGGAGAAACGTAATTTCGAAAAAACAAGACGTTAATAGTAACAGCTAGATATGGATTGAATCCTTTTCCGTAGCACTATCGAAATAATCACTGATAACGGCTGAGTGAAAAGCTTTCTCACAAAATATAAGTCAATTTTTGACTCTTTTAAAAGTATTCTAGATCAGTGAAAAACTAAGAACTGGATCCAGAGCTTTGTGTTTCTTTCGAATATGGGTTCATAAATTGTGTATCGGTTCTTTGCTTGAGAATAGTGAGGAAATCTTTGAAAAGCCAAAATAAATAGTTTGAACGGAGCGCTTGGCTCGAAGTTTCTCGGCGATATTTTCTTTATATGTGACCCACGTGAGAGTATTCTAGATGAATAAAAAAACCGATTGAGAAGAATTTGAACGTCCTGAAAAATTGATTTGAGTGGAAAACAAACAAGTATTTGATACCTCTGTAAATTCCTTTGCAAGAGTGCTAAAAACTGTTGGATTCAGTAAATTTGTAGAGCAAACAATTCGTTACAAAACGTCATGTTCAAAAAAAGGTAGTTTTTACACACGGGAAACTATAACCATTCTCGCAATAGCTATTTATATCTAAATCGGATTTTTCAGAAATACAGCTGATAGAAAAGCAAACAATTTAGGTGTGTTATTAGGACACAAAAAGAAATTGAAATAGCACATTTTGTAGAGCAAATTTTGCTCTACAAGTTGATATAGGACGAAAACTTTTGACGTTTAGTTTTGAATACAAATAGTAGAAATGCAAAAATATACAAGAAAATATTTCGTTCAAACCATTTTTTAGGTCTTTCAAAGTTTTATTCACTACCCTCGAGCAAAACGCAGCTATACTCTAATCTGAGTCCATATTTGGTAAGAGAAAAGAATTCTGGTTCCAACCTCTAGTTTTTCACTCGTCTAGAATTCTTTCAAGAGAGTAAAATGTGGCAAACATTTTGTAAAAAAGACTTTCCGATTGCCCGTTACTAGAAGAAGAAAAAAGCAAATTGTCTGTTTTTTTTTAATGAAATTTATTTATGTGATTTGTCTTCAATCTAATGTCTGATGAAATATCTCATCGAGATACGAATCGTCACCACTTTTTAAATAAATTATTAATATCAAGCTAAATTAAATTAAATTACATTGGAAATAAAACAAAATAAAATAAAAGAGAATTAATTCATGTTCAACATAATATCAATCTACTTATCCAAACGAGAATTATTTAATTTTGTACAAATATTATTTTCAACTATGTTGGTGGAAAAGTAATGGAAAATATCTTACTCACGAGCCATCATGTCTGAAATTCTCATTCGTTCAAATTGTGCCCACTTTTTCATTTTCGATATAAATGTGACATGAAATCAAAATCCATTCTTACCACACGAATTAGACAGCTCAGTATCTCAGCATAGAACAGAATTCTCAAAGCCTGGATCATTGTATTTCTCTTTTGACTAGTTTACAGATGCACTGCATATTTTCAACGTATGAGTTCAAAGGAGAATCACTAGGTCTGACACCCTGTTTATCATGTACATTTGTCACATGTTAATGCTTTCGACAATATATTCATTTCGGATTCTCAATTGTAGAAAAATCAAAGATTGATAACTCTAACACTGAGAAACGTATTTGCAGAGAAAGACCTATTTGACTCACATCAGAGAAGCTCAACTCTTAATAGTTCTCTCCTTCATTACTCATCAATCAAATAAGTGGATAAAAGCATGACTTATTCTTCTCGGAATTTGACGACGCCTTTTTCAGCAAGAGCTCAAGCATGACTATTCAATCATGCTCAATTCCACGACAAGTGTCGTATCAATTCTTATTGCTTCTCATATGATGCTAAAAATAATATTTGATCATCGTGATCAAAATTTAGAAGAGGAGACAGACGTTATTAAATCAGTAAGTAGCATAACATGACGAATTCGGCAGTGCAAAATAAACATTTTATTGAATATTTCATACTTATGACGAAGGATTTAATCAGAATGAGTTCGATCTGATGATGGAATCTTTCTTATTGATATGCAAGAACAGTGAACATGTTCGGTTCAAACTATCAATCTTGTTGCCAAGCTAACTAATATAAAAACTTACATGCCCAAGGCGAGCCAGAGCCAAAGACGTGCATCACTCGCGTGGATACGCAGTACGGGACAGAGGCGCCTTCACGATCGTGGTTTAACTAGATTAATAGCTATAATTTCTTGAAGTTGAACCTTGAAAAATCCGAGTTAATTTTAATGTCGTGCGACAGCATGCATGTCATTTTTTTTTTGTTAAACTAAGAATGATGAGCAATCGAACACCGATTAAGTACTCATTCTTGAAAAACTTTATGCCATTTGATTTGTACTGTTAATGGTGTTGATGGGGTGCGGATGTGGTGAAAAAAAACATGCATACCCACACATCCACACCCGCTTCCACAAACTATGGGCATAAGTAAACCATCGGTATTGTTATCCTCTATTAAATCACGTATAGATATATTAACATTAATCGAATCACATTGTCAAATAGATATAACAACAACAGCAGTGAAGCATATTATACATTGACGATCGGAAATAGTTGTGTATGCGTTAGAGTAAGCTTATAGTAGTGATATAGATTTAATGTGACTTGTTTGATCATGCTCGATTTTCTCCATTTTCTATCCTACATTAACCTATCAAAGTGTATTTTCTTTTCTGTCAAATATGTGATGTGATGGAGTTTTCCTTTCCTATCACATATGCATGACGGATTGTTCCTTTCCTTCTGCTCTTGTTTCTTTCCACTTGTTTCATGAGGATGTGGGTGTGGGCCTAGTTCCTGTTTTGCACAGACCGACACCCACACCCTGTACCCTAATAATGTATAACTTAAAAATTGAATATCTCTGTCCAGGTACATCATACGCAGCTCATATTTTAAATTCATTATTTTCTCGTTGAAAGCTTTCTGTTGGCCCGAATATGTTTAGCCTTTTCGCTCAACAGGTCACACCCTTCCATTGTCAGATACATTCGAATAGTGTGAATAAATCTCACCAGAACATTACATATAATATTTATCATAAAAACAGATGTCATATGTTTTGCAGAGGAATATCGGATACAATGTTCTGTAGATATTTACTCACACTATTCGAATGTATCTAAGAAACTGACTATAGAGTTTTGTAGAGGGTGTGGATGTAAGTTGTTTTTCTTCGCCAACATCTACACTCACAACCTCAAGATAGAGAATTAAATCGATAAAGAGTCACTTGCCAATTCGTTTTTTTCAAAAGCCTTTCTTTTCTTTTCTTTCTGTCTGGCATCATCACACGTATGTGTATTCCATCTATGTTTTCGTTTATTCTGTGTACATGCATGATAAACGCACACACTACCTCTCTTCTAGTATGCTAGAGTGCATTCGTTTTCTTTTGTTCTTTTTCTCGATATTGAATATGTATGATTCTCTCTCTGGTAGGCTCTGTTGAGTTTTTTCTCTTTTCGCACACTTGTATTTTCAATCGTGAACAAATCAAAAAAGATTCATAAATACAAGCTTAGAAAATAAGGTACAAATGAAAGTTCTGATTTCAATCTTGACTTTGATCATCATCGATGAAAAAAGCTGGAATTGGACTAATAGCTGCTGTAAATAAACCTCCTCCTACAGCGATTGCTTTGTGGGTTTGAAAGTATGATTTACATTGATGTAGTTCAATTTCAGTTAATATTCCATAATTACTAGTAATTTCTTGAACATTGACTATTTCAAATGCTGAATATGGAATTAAAAGAACTTCTTGCTCATGTGGAAACATCGATAACTCTTCAATATCTAATGCTGTGTGAGCTTTTCGAATTTTATATATACAAATACAAGCTCTTTTTATTGCATTACCATCAGCAATAGCTTTCTCTTTTGCAGCAAAGCTTTCAGCAATATGTTGAGCTTTTGAAGTTGATAATAAAGATTTCGTCATAATCTTAGCACTAATGTCGTATTGTTTTAAATCCTAAACATCCATTTTCATACCGCGATATATTTAACCTTGAAATTCATACTTACGAAAACTAGGGCGGCAGAAAATCAGATTAAGAAAATCCAATAATTGATGTTGATTTTCATCGTTTGGATTCAATTTATGCGCTCTTGTTAATTCTCTATTTAATCTTTGATAAAATTCAGTTTCTTCGGTATAAGCTTTTAATATATATTTGGGATCATTTTCATCATTAGCTTGATCGAAATACCGTTTAATCTTATTAATACCTTCGTAATTGCCCAAATCAATCATCTCTATTAGAATTTTCTTTTTATTACTTTTATCTTGTTCAGAATAAGTTTTTAACATTTTCCGAATTGCTTTGGCCTCTTGATCAATATGTTTGCCAACTCTTATCCATTCAATTGTACTATTTAGATTTCCTAGAAATCTATTATTAACATTTTCATGTGAAAATAATTGTTTTATTTCAACTGTGTTTCCCTCTTCATATGGTATACAATTGTATTTATTTTTTATTGATCTTGATGCACCTTGTTTTAATAATAATTCAACAATTCCATGATGTCCATAATATGATGCAGCATGCAAAGTAGTACTATCATTTGGTTTCAATTTGTCGATTTGATCAGACATCATAGTTTCCAGAAATAATTTCACTTTATCCATATCGTTATTACGGCAAGCGTAATAAAAGTTGCTTATCGATAATTGTGATGCTGCCATTGGTGATGGATAGAATAAATAATGATCGATGGGAATATAAACTTTGATAGATCACACGAAAATCACAATTGTTCGAGTTTTCTTCTAAAATCAATTTTTTCTCTTATATATGTTACAAAAGTTACATGAAAAAGGAGAAATATTTATTTTACACGAAAATAAGCAAACTAGAACAACTAGATGGATGAAATACATCATTTTAAATATACTTTTTTAAGAGGGATTAATCTGTATTATTAAGAAAGATCTGTAAGAGTATACAAAGTTCCATGTAAGTGATAAGTTTTAGTGATGACTGGCATATAAACAAGTATAATTCAAATACTCTTCGTGAAGAATATATCTATTCTTTCTATCCTTGTATTTTTATGACGAGATTCCAAAAATCTCAGTTTATTTTAAAAAGAGCTCATTTGATAAGAAAAGCAAAATGATATATTAAATTTGATGTACTATGCTCTTTTAGAGGGAGGGTCTATTCAAACAAATGAAGCATTACAATGTAGAACTATACACCAGACACTGACGCAGTACAAGAGTTTCTGTGTCGAATTCATTGTGAAAGTTTTCACAATGAAAATAATTTTTCTTCAACAACTTTAACAAGAGCTAATCCTATGACATTAGGTCTGAATATTCTTCTTTTAAACCAATGACAATTTGACTCTTTCTCTCCTAACTTCAGAAAATAATCTGTAGAGTTCTATAGAAATCCATATAGAAGACAATAGTATGAAAAATTGCTATTTCTGCACCACTTCAAAAGCATTCGCTTACTAAACTAGTTAGTTATTCAAACTACTGTTAGAACTAAAGTCATTTTCCTTATATCAAATATCTTTCTTTTACACAAAATGCTTAGTTACGAGGGAACCGCCTAAGTGACAGTCACAGATGGAACTGATGTTTCTACCATAGGGTGGGAGATCTCAATACTAGTGCACCTGTTCAATGATTCGGCCCATGGCAACATGATGTTGAGTTATGGTTGTTTTACTAAATTTGTCATCCATAGCAAGATACTTTCGAAAAAATAGAATTCAAGACTTTTCACCTGAGATTTGGCCAGCGGGATATATGTAATCGAGATTAGTATCACCTGAGAATGTCAACAAAAACAAATGTGACCTTCTCAAGACATTGANGATATCCGCTATCGAATTTTGGAGATTGGAATCACCCAAAAATGTTACCAGTGGTATTCGAAAATTGCTCGTGCTTGTCTATTACCGGATGTCCACGTCCAGCTCTTATCAAAGACAGCCGAGATCAATTAGTAGTAGTTCCAGGAATGATAGTTGATTGTTATGTTGTTGATTCAACGTTGGGTTCTACACTAGAATGTTATTATGATTTAACATGCTTTCGTCTTCTACATAAGCAATCGATAGAAACAGTGAGCTTATTATCCGATTATTCCAACAATCACTTTCTGGTAAATTCTACTGTTCAAACGCTTCTCGACGATTTAATGATTGATAAATTGAATAGTGAAATAATGTTCGATTCATTTTACAGTCAATGCAAGCCTGATTATTGTGCTTTCTCATATACTCATCGGTTTTCACGTCTCTTCATTATTACTACAATTCTTGGAACCTTTGGTGCTCTGTCTTCTATCTTACGTCTTATGACACCATTTATAGTAAAAATAATTTTTCGCTGGAAAACCAAAATTGCTTCAAACGACACCATTCCACAGAATGATACGGTTATTTTACGCAACCGTAAGTGACAACAAAATTCATGTAATAGCTCGAATCCTGATAGTCGAAGTCTATTCAAAACAGCAATTGCGTTATTTTCTCGATTTTTCTCAAATACAAATCTGATTTGTAACAATATTCAGAAAACACTAATCTTTGAACGTTTGAAACGATTCATATGAAAATACTATTGTGATTTGACTCTTAGAGAAGTCGCAAAAAGGAATCCTTGATATTTACATCATTCAGTTAATTGATATTGTACTCTTCCTTCGAGTCGATCTTATATTACATCTCTTTAGAGGAGATGCTTCATCTTTCAAAATGTTCGATTTTAGTAGTTTTGGAAAAAATTCAAAAAATCAATGAAAACGTTGCATATTCTAAGCCTATTCACATCCAGCAAAGTACCGAAAGGATGTTACTTAAAAATTTGCCGTGCTTCACATTTTAATGTAGCGAATAATCGTACTAAAGATTTTCTACTATCACTATATTGAGAGTAATGGTTTCTTTTGATTGGCTTTCAGAGTTTTAATATGCAGTTTGTAGAAAAGTTTTGTATTCTATTAAATTTAAAATCTTCTTAGAAATAACATTCTTCGGTCATTGTCAGCGTCTACCAAATTTTGTTTATCAGCAACTGAGTAAGTTAAATCTTTTCAAAACGAAGAAAATTCGAACATCCACTAATATAATACGTGAGTATTTCTTTACACGACTCTTCATTTTACTATTCATCACTTGTTCGATCATCGTTGGCTTTTACATATTTATATCCAATCACAATCAAACCGTTACGGTCATGCATCCATCTCTAGAAACCTACGAGAAACTATTCAACGAACACTCAAATACCATACAATGTTCTTGTACACGTTTGTCTGTACCTTATGGGACATTTCTAAATGTAACATTTGTATTACATCAAATATGTTCGAGCGATATGGTTTCACCAATATGGCTAAATTATCTATCTTTGTTCGATCCGACTCTTATACCTCCTTGGACAGAGACAGCATATTCACGTGATTTCCGTCCTTCAGGTGTGTTGTATTTTCAACTTTTGGCTACATTCTGCTCTTTGACTACAATCAATATTGAAGATAGTCAACGTGTTTTCACCAATACACTATTCGTTAGCAATCATCTTCTTCCTCGATCACTCTTCGTTCAACAAACTCAAGCAGTGGCCGAAGCATTTATCCATGAAACACGTAACAACTTTGTACGTATTTTAAATTGGATTGATATTGCTGGTACTATAAATCAGTTTTTATCGGGAACAAACGTTAATTTCCAAGTTACAATGGGTAATGACGACAAAGTAAATATTGAGGACGTACTGCTTTATCCACTAGCACAAATAACTGCCGAAGGCATACAGGTCACTGAACCATGTTCATGCACAACTAATTATGATGTTTGCCTTTTAAGATCTGTTCTGTTTACAAATGGATCGAGTTTCTTCGAATTTCTGGAAGTTTCTTATGAAATATTTGTGGGTTGCACGCCATTAATCGGATTCTTTAGCTCTCTCACCGACTGGTGGTACAATAAAATTCATATTGAAAATATACGGGCAACATACGCTGGCATAATCATTCCTGAGTTTCCACCTGATATCAAGCCACTCAATACATCGATTCCGACTCGATTCGATGACAGTACATTAGATTTAATCAACCAAATGTTTTTGGAAGCCTCAATCATCAGTAATGATCGTTATGCTCTGTATTACAGCCAATGTGCACCTCTCAGCTGTTCATATACAATATTCGAGCGTCGGAATATTATCATCGCAATTTTATTGCTTGTTTCAGTTTGTAGTGGACTCAATCGAGGTCTTCGATTAGTTGTACCATTGATTGGAAAGCTTATTCTCGTTATTTTCGAAAAATGGAGACATCGGAGAATCGTTCGTGGTGAGTGTATTGTGCAAAAATAATCCCTTTCTGTGACCAAATGACTCGCTTCTCAATCCGACAGCAAAGTCCTCTGTAAAAAGATTGTGAGAACATATTCGACTACAACTAGAATGTGGCACTACCGGTGTGGGTGTGGATGTGGGTGGGATGTCGGTATTAGTCTTTCATTAACATTCGAAGCCATACCCCACACTCACACTCAAATTCACACGCTCAGTCTGAGTACCATATCCCTTTTGATATCAAAGAAATAAATATATTGAACGAGAAAAATGCGACGCATGTAAGATTTTGTAGCGTCATTTTTTAAATTAAAATATGTCGGGAGATGTTGAGTAACTGAAGAACACGCGGAACTAGCGACTGTAGTTTTCACTACTTGAAACTGAACACTGAGCACCATCAATCTATGCAAAATTGAATGTGTAGGAGATAATCTTAGCAATTTCTGTTACGATTCTCGGAAAACCGCCTTTCTAGCCAGCATCCAATCAGTCATTCGATAGACATTTCGACGAGTCGATTTCAGCTTTCGGCGAACATCGAAGTTTTATGTGGAAAGCTCGAACCTTCATTTTCTGATAAGTCGAGGATTCGGCGATGGATTCTTCCCACTCCTTGCTTTCAACCACTCGAACGATAGGGTCAAAGAGATCTTAGTGATTAAAATAAAAACCATTCATCCGATAGATGTTCCACTCCCGAGTCATCGAAACCTATTGAATATAGGAGCGCCCGAAGATTCAAACCGAGTTACTTACGATTAACTTTCGTTGAGCATCTGCACTAAATATGAACTCACTTTCTTCAATCGAAGTCATTTTTTTGAGTTCAGAAAAAGATAATACTTTCAAATTTTTTTGCTACTCTGACATTTGCTAGTGAGTTGTAGAAGTTAAACATCAGTTTTTATTTAAGATAAAAAATATTTTTGCATGCGTCTAACGAAAGAAAAAATTTTCTCAAATTTCAGGTGCTATTAAAAACGCTTGTTTGGCAAATGATTGATCGGTATGATTAAGCGTAAAAATCAATATTTAGAATTCTTTTTCTAAGGCTCACAACGCGCAAATGCATCATGATTATATCGTTGTTTAGCACGATGCAAGTATTCGCTTATGATTTTCATCAGTTCATGTGAAATATTGCTTAGAAAATTGTGAAATTATATTGAAAATGTGTCAAAATGTAATAATTCTCCTAAGGCTGTGAAATAAAAAAAAGCGTTTCAAAAATACTTTTTAAAAAGGTTTCACACAATCAGCATTGAATTCAACAGTCGCAATTGTTATTGCGCTAGGCTTGCTTTTGCTGGAGCACTTGAATGTATCCATTCTATTTGGTTCTTTTCTTCTGGTAGGCAGAACTTCGACACGCTTTGAATGGTTGAAAGATGATCGGGGAGTCGTTAATCTATTCTCGATAGGTTTTTTCATGCCGAATACCCGAAACTTCGGTGAATGCCAAGCTGTCGAAAGATGTTCGAAAAGTCGAAAAATGGTTGCTCGAGATGATATAGTTTTCGAGTGATCGAAATCTGATAGTTGTCGAATGATTCAATGTTCGCATAGAACAAACAAAAAAATATATTTCAAATTTTTGATTACTGGTCGTGCTCATCGTATGCTTTTTAACCGTTTCGCGGCGATGGGTCCCACAGATGAAAGTCACTATAGGGTGGTTCAAAAGCTCGTTTATTATAGAAAAAATTGAATATCTGTGCCATACTTTGACTAGATGGGCTGTTTTTTTTTAACGTTGGTAGAGGAATATACATAGCTCATATTGATAAGAGAAACACTGATAATAGTTGTGTTGCGGTACTACATTTGCTACAAATAAAGACATGAAACCTTTCACGAATTATGAGAAAGCAATATTCAGATCGCCGCGAATGGGTTAAAGTCTACTTGCGTAAGGTTCATTGAATTTTCATCTTAACTATGTCAATGTGACAAACGTGAGTCACCAAGTTCACATCGGAGAGAACTTGCATTTTCAGCAAAAACTTGCAATATATGTTTTTAAAATTGTTGTGAGAGAAGAATTAACTGTAGCACTTGAAGATCGATGCATTTTCTGAAAGCATGAGAAATCAAGATTTTTTTCTATAAAGTAGGCTAAGTTTCCAAATATCTTTCAAAAGGATGTCTGATTTGCCTAAGCTGAAGATTGGAGCTCACTCAGTTGTGAACTTAATGATTCCAGTCCGTCATGTTGAACGATAGGAGGAGTGGAAGATCGCCTATTATGTTAATCTTTCTTGTTAAACTTTGATCTCTTTTGAGAACAAAGCGAGCATCGCTACAAGATTCAGCACAGATAGAAAATTATTTTTTGTTCAAATCCTAGTTGAGAGAGGTTAAAAGCATGACTTTTAGAGGTTATGATGCTTGAATTTCAGCATGTAAACTGGAAAACGAAAGTATCTCTGGCATTTACGGCTCAACAGAGTAGAACATAAACTAAAAGAAAGATGAAGTTGAGGGCGGGAGGAGGAATTTGATAAAAGTTGCTGATAGGCAAGGCACTTTTTCAAGGATTATAAGGAAATTCCTTACGACAATCTATCAAGCTTTTGAATTTGATACAGGTTGACGTCGCCAAGTTTTCACTTCCGAGTAATAAGAACCACATGTCGGTAGCTCTTTCCTTTCCTGAGCTGCGCAACATCTTATGACACTCATTGTATTTTGCAAAGAATATTGATTGCATGTGCACTTCAAGTGCTTGCTCTTCTGTTCAAGTTCAGATTTGAGAAAAGGAGAAAAAACATAAAGGTATTAGATTCTTGATATTAAAAAACTAAAACTATGCGGTCTCCTTCTATCAGTAGTTCACTTTCCTGCATGTTAATAACATACAATACGAACAAATGAAAATCGAGATTTGAAAGCAAAACTTGATGCAAAATTATCTACTATGTTTTACTCTACGATATGTCGGGTGGTTTTCTTGGTTTGTTTCACTTAAAAATTTTGAACAATAAAAAAGCTTTAGAATGAAGAAGCAATGATTATTATTACTAAAGATCGCTTTTATTACTAGCAAGACGTGTTGTCATATAATCGAGAATTCAATTGCATCAGAAATTCAGAAAAAACTATTTTTTCTCATAATTATATGTCGTTGGAATCTACTGAAAGCCATGAATCAGGAGAGAGCCACAGCCCAACAAAATACACGAGAGCATGCCGAATCAAGTAATTAGAATAAAAAAAAAGTAGAAGAGTGTCTGGAGAGTTAGAAATGGGAAGAACGAGAGAAATGAATAAAAAAACAATAAAAGAATAATCTGATAATATCAATCGTATGTTTATTTGGGCATCATTTGACAAACATACGCGATATATAGAAGAAAGCTTGTGAAACTTATCATTCACCTCGCTTTACAACTTCCCTTTCTTTTTAGAAATGAAAGGAAAAGTGTCACCCCTAGTTTTTATGACACGATGATCATTTTTAAACAGATCTCTTTCGACACTGAGGGATTTTGAAAACTATTCAACAGTGAAAGTTTGAAAACGTAAATGTTTAAAATCAAAACAGCCTATAGTTTTTCAGACTGCTATAATCTTGAGTTTGATTTGTGAACTTATTCAACACGATGTCTTCCATTTTTAATAGTACCTACCGAGGGTGTTCGGGATCACAATTTGGTGGCTAAAGTAATTCAATCAATTAAAACGTTGAATCTTTTCGAATCAAATTTGGTTGATGCTGTTAATGTTCGTCAACAGCAATTGGTCACTCGAATATATCTCGCCTTGCTCATTGGTTCACTCACTATCATTTTATTTTATGCATCAATTATTGATCACATCGTAACCAAAACATATTTGTATCCATCGATTGAAGATTATGAGCATTTATTTCATCTGAATTCAAATGACATGGATTGCTCATGTACGCAAATATCAATTCCTTACGGTGCATTTGTTAATCGACTTGAAGTTAGCTCTTTTCACCAAGTATGCGAAACTAAAATAATTTCAACTAGTCTCGGAGTATTCGCAAATATCCTAAAGGGAATGACTTTGGCAGATCCAATAGATTTGAACTCATGAAAGCAGTACTTTACCGATGGTCTCACGAAACTCTGTCAAACCGCGCAACGCAGTGTGGCTCATACGATTGAAACATTTCTTGTATCAAATATTTTAGTATATCAAGTAATACTGCGAACACAGTTTAAAAATGAAATTGATGCTACTCTCGATCGACTCAAAACATCCACTCCAGTCGCGTTTGCGAGAACATTAGATCTGATTCGCACGATTATACAGAGTAATGCATTATTAAGCCTATTTTCCTCTAATTGGACAATAGTCATGGCTGATAGTAGTGAAGCCAAGAATGCTTCATTCTTTAGTGTACCTGTCAATAATGAAAAAACCAACCAGAACACGACTTGCTCTTGCTCTACAGGACGATCTTGCACAGTACCAGTACAACTTTTTTACAACTTTACATCGTACTATTCATTCAAGGATTTGATGCGCGACTGCTTTATACTTGAAACAATTTTGCGCTCTTCACTATCATGTTTCTATTCTATATCGTGTATTGGTAAATTACGAAACACAATGAATGTTAACACAGAAATGACGGTGGAAGAATGGGCCGCTTTCTACCGTATTCCTGAAATGTTGGATTCTGCATCTACACGGTTTGCTGTTAATGATACGATTGAAACATTAGCTTACAATATGTTTATTGAAACGTGGATTAGCAACACATCCTACGAGATGTTTTTCGACGCTTGTGCACCAAAACAATGTTCCTATACATATCATTATCGATTTGATGCTGTAGAAATCTTAACAATCTTTTTGAGTATATTCATTGGTCTGTCTGGTGGGTTGCGATTTTTCGTCCCTCATTTCGTTGTAATGATTGAAAAAATAAGAAGCCGATTGCGTGTCGTACCGGTGGAATGATTTCTATTGTTCGACTTACTATCATTCAAGACTGTCGCGATGCATGACTTGAAGCTTAGGTTTTTATGTTGTAATCATCAACATTGTTGCTCATATTCGCTTTTCTATCTTAATAAAAAATTAATTGAGTCACTGTCATTACAGACATGACAAATTAACCTCGAGAAAAAAGTCATCTTGTCTGTGAAATAATCCACACTAGAGCTGGCCTTAATTATATCTTATTAGAAGAATACAACGGTGAAATCTAATAACTATGAAGAAGACTCAAAAGTAATCAACTGCTTCTAAACTTGATCTTTGAATACATGAAGAGAATCTCCAGACCTAAAATAAAGTAGGAGGGCTTAGCCTTTAGGATGTGGGTGAGGGTGAAAGTGTGATGGGCGTTCATGTGGATCTCTTTTGTCAATCACAACACTCATCCAAGCCCACACCTACGCTTACACCCACCCACACCGTAATGGTAATGTTCGAGACAATGACTGACCGCTCATTTAGTCGATTGTTCTACGGCCAATCGGGCAGTGCTATTGTTAGTTTGAAAATGTAACAACATGACGTTGATGAAGAGAGAAAATTGAATAATATAAAATATGTGAGAAATGAGTGGTGATAGAACAGAACAAAATTTCTCATTCAAATGAAAGTTGAAGGAACAAACTTTTCTATGGTTAAACAATCATATGATCAATCGTTGTCATCAACTGAGCAAGATGATTTCAATGAATCATCTTCTCTTGTTGTCATCAACAATTGCAATTGCACGGTACACTAAGAAATACTTGAGAATGCATAATCGAATCGTCCATTAATGAATGCTACACAACTGACGATGACACATTGAGCAACCTACCAAGCTTGAAGCGTAAACGATTCTGTTCCGGTTACGAAGAACAACAAACACAGATGAAGAGGAAACATTCATGCATCTGTGAATCGATCGAAGGCAAAATCTGGATGTTCGAAAAGTAACATAATGATGATACTTGTCTGGTGTTTCTGAAGAAGAATTCTTATCTATACTTCCATCGACTTGCTACAAGAATACTTTGTGCAACAGCTACCTTCGCTCTAGTTGAATAGGTGTTTTCTTTGAGTAACATACTCATGCGTCCTCATCGTGATCAACTCTCTAAGAAAATGCTCTCAATGCTAACTTTACTAGAATGCAATCGAGATTTGTTGTAATTCACTAGTCTATTTGCCATTGTAAATAATCTTCATATTTTAATCAAGCTAAGCTAAACATGTNTCGGAAGGTAGAGCTCCATTTTCGGATCCACTAGAGCGTGGACGAAAACAGAACCTATTTCCGTCTGATTATCTTGCCAATAGGTGAGTTAGCCTTCGTGTTTCTTTATGTTTTATATACCATTCTGTAGCTCGTAAAATTCTCTATCGAATGGTATATAATAGTTGGGGTTTTGTTTGAGTATAATAGGAAAAGTTTTTTACGAAAGCGAGGATGGGTCGATTTTCGCATAGGAAGCCATAGGAAAAAATGAGTATTTTTGCAATAACTCAGGAACGGCTCGACCAATCATGCTCATCTTCGAATTCGACCGAGATATTGTTAAAACTGAACTGTGTAGAAAATTTCATCGCGATTGAACCCTCCTTTCAAAAGTTATCGTATAAACGGCCGGCCGGACGGGCACACTGGCCGATTCTAGAGTGTACTCACTTTTTGAGTACACAAAAAGAAAGAGGTTCAAAAACATAATTTTAAGTGTACCTTTTTTTTTCTTTTTTCTTAGTTTTTCAATTCAAACATCATCGATTAACGATAATGATCTTCCTATAGTAACACAATTGATATCTTTCGATTTAGAAATTTATGCTAAATGTGACAGTCGTTCAATTTCTTATATTTTACGTTATATGCCTAATCTTATTCGATTTCATTTTGTTCTTGCCGTAGGAAAAGTAGAATGGCCATATGTTGCTGAATTACTTGATGGTTATGTATGGAAACAAATGTTAGAACTTTATGTACCATGCTTATCTAAATTTAAATTTCATATGTCAATTTTTAAACCATTACCTGAATTAAATTTAGATATTATTGGTAATTCATTTGCATATTTTGTTGAAAAATATTCTAATTGGCATATGATTATTGATCAATGGAGAATTAATTGGATACATCGAGGTAAATAAAGTTTTAAGTAAAAAATATTAGTTCAATTGGTAGTTGATCTTTTTAACAAATGAATATTGTGAAGATAATTATTTTATATTTAATGATTCATTTGTTTTTCTTATTTTAGAAGAATTTTTGATGTTGCGTACATTGAATTATCAGAAACAACTATCACAAGTAAAGGTAAATATTCCTTTGATTTATTGGGATTCATTGAAGACACGATCAACAACAACAATAACAGATGATCATCATTGTTTTTATGAAAATGAAACACATTTGAATATATATATGACATGGGACACACCTATTATTACTTGGTCTTATCCTTTATTTGCACAAATCACTTCTTTATGTATAGCTATGCCAAAAAAATGTTCATACATTTGCCGTATATAGATGAATTTATTGTAGTTTTTTTGAATATTATTTGTTTAGTTAATTTTCGTCGTACAAATGATGATGATGATGTTATTTCCCTTTCACATTTTGCCCATTTACATAATATAACTCGTATAGAATTTGCACCAAACTTTCACATATCTTGATGGAAAGATATTCAATTTATTCTATGGTAAGTAGTAAAATGTTTCTATGTATTATCAACTATATTAAGTAATATTTCCTTTTGTTAATAATGAATATAATGATTATGTTATTTTGTGTTTTATTTTTAGGGCATGTCCAAATCTAATTGATCTTAAAATTAAGGTTCGATTATTAATGTCCTTGAACTTATTCGATAATCCATCTCTTATTCCAATTTTTAAACAAATTAAAATACTCAAATTAATAACAGAAAATATTTATTTTCCTTCAAATTCTTCATGGAAATTTGTTGAACGTTTTCCATCACTTACTCATATTGAACTTAAAGTATTTTCATTCGATAATTGTATATCTACTATTGAGATATTTCTTAGTCATCTGCAAAATTTGTCTTATGCTAAAATTAATTATGATCAAGTTACATTATTTGATGATCCATTTTCACGTGATGATATTATTGAAAAACGTCATCAACAATTTCCCAATACTATTTTGAATGAAACTATGGTCAATGTTAAAAATAACGGAGAATTTGTAGAAATCTGGTTATCATAATTTAATGTAGATCTCCATAGAACTTTTCTGTTTATATAATAAAATAATCATAAGAAAAATAGCATTTCTCAGTGAGTATAGATAAAGAGACGATCTACACCCATCTATTCTGAACAGAATCGCCTTTGAAATCAACCTTTTTGAATTCCGAAGAATGTATCAATATTGATCTGTCGTCGACTTATGTTAATTCATATGTGAATTGACTTTGTTCGCCATGATTAAGATCTTCATCAAAACTATGTTGACACATCAATATTCACTTGAGTTATTTGATATTGATTTATTACTCGAAGAACAACACAAAATGTTATAAAACAATACTTGAATATTCCAACTGAACATCTTCTAGTTGTTGCAAACGTCTATTTTAAGAAGATATCAGAAAGTTATCTCAACAATATTAAGTATACACTCGAACTTTTGTTATACATTGATCAAAGGTCATTTGTCTGAAATGATTTTTGACGAGGATGCGAATCAATTTCAATCATTTGAAAAAGAAAAATTTAATGTTGTATGTCTCACAAACCATTTTTACTTTTGTATTCGAGTATGTGATCAAGAAAAAGTGTAATGATATTGAATCATCTCTATCTCAGTTGGACAGATTAAGCAATACTAGTTCGTTTTCTTGGTCAGCAATACAAATCACAGATGGTCTTGTACTTTCTTGTTAGTCTAATAAGCATTATCTTGCATCATGTAAACATACGGTTTATCATGGAGACATGTGAAGTACTATAAAAATAAATTTTGAAAGAATGATGATGATTGATTAGTTGATTAAGACTTGTATATTTTCAGTTTCAGTAATAATAATATATCCTGTATCTATTGTTAGCACGTAGAATATATCGTCTAAAAATTTAGTGTTTTGAAACAGTACAGATTGAAACTCTGACTGTCGATCTTCGATATTCCACCAATGGCTGCGATTGGACACAAATGTCTCTAGCAGCTCTTTTTCGAAACACCTATAAGGAATCAATTGAAACCCATCTTTTGCCTAAATACGCCGTTCTTTGATTGTCGAACGAGTGATTCAATCATTGAAATGAAATTCATACAGAATTCCTTCATAGCCATAAGACGAATGTTTAGTAGTATAAGTATTAAGTGATTTAGCAGCTTGTAAAACATGTTGAGAAGTGTACTGATGTGAATTTGAGTGATGATGATAATACCCCCATGAGTTCAAGAATCCCACGGCGCTATAGTACTTTTGATCTAGTTGAAAATCTCGATGAATGGTTTCTATCATAAACTATGAATGATGCAATAAATATGGGATCTGAATACATGGAAATATTTTCGAAGAATTCAGAGTGTGCCGATAAGAAACTGTTTCATCATGATTCGAAGATAAGGGATGATAATGGTGACATCAACGTTGAGCATTCTCGTTTGCCAATGACCACAATCGAGCAAAAACAGACTGACGATGAATTAGATGGTATTCGTCAAATGTTTGAATAAGAACAAAAAGAATTGAAAGATATTCAATTGGTCAATGCAAGCGATGGAAATTTTAAAATTATCAACAATTATTCCGTTACTTCGAAAACGTGTAATCTTAATTACTCAAAAAAGTCATTTTGAAACAGGTGAACATATGACAAAAAAAAAGTCTCAAGAATGATTTCATTAAAGTCGGACGTCAACTATTTTAACGAACAGAGCGGTAAACATCTACTTCATCAAGTAATTAGTCTTTTTTGTCTTCTCCAGTTTTAGGTCATTATCACCGATCCATAAATGAATCTATGAGGGATATTCATCGTCGACTCGACACATGAAATTCTGATTCATCGACAAGCGATATGTATAGTTGACAAGCCAATGCCGTGTCACTAGAGGTTTACCTCGATCCCCTTTTCTATTGATCCGATAGTTCTCAACAAAGAATGTACTATATGATAAGTATTCAAATCGATCAATTAAAAGTTGTCATTTGACGGCAAATATTGACCTGAACAATTAATCTCTCGACACATGAAAAAAGTTCAGTCCATTTGAAATGTACGTTATCTTCAAATGTGCGAATACTAAATATAGAAATAGAATTGACAGAACTAGACTTTGTCCATGTTAACCAACTGATTTTCAGATGATATAATCGAGGCATCGATTGACTGATGAGTTGAACAAGTGTATCGAATGTCAATGCCGTTGTGTCTATAGCCAGAAATTCGACTTTAGACAAATCAAGAATATGTTTCAGTAAAAGTTTCTGAACATGTTTATATGAATACAAAGAAGCACTACCATCGTCCATTAAGAGTCTAGTTATATGATCGTAAAATATCCCATGTTCTTCTATAGGTAAAGTTGTTGCATGCGGTTGTACTGGCACACATAGTTGTGAGATAGCTGTCGGAGAAAATCAAGGCACAGTGAAAAGAGTCGACACATAGCCATAATAGGCAACAAACCAATGTCAATTTTCTCCAATACAAAACGATGTTTGAAATGAGGAGAGTACACTCTCCGCATCATTATTTATTTCTGAGTATTGTAATTTGAAATGAAAATCGAATCGAACAAGTGCAACTAGTTGTCTACTAATGAATAGTTCCCATTGATTTCCACCAGAAAAGCTTCTGTCACCACCGTAGAGAACAGTCAGTTCACAGACAATAAAAAAATCCAAACAGAAATCTGATTCAATTGTTCAACTTACTTAGAGAATCAATCGACATGTTCAAATGAACAGTTCGAAACTAATGAGTCTCGAATATCATTAATCAATTGATTGACTTCACTAGAACTCCAACATACGATTGAAACATTTACTGAAAAGAGATTAGTTGCAAGAAGAAGGATTCGATGAAATTTAACGAATGAACATCGTCCTAGTGCCAAATAACGTAAACAAGACAATTGGATAGGAGAATCCAGTGTTCTGTGATCGAAATAGTCTTCCGGATCAGAATTGACAATGCGTTGTTGTAGTCGAACTCCAAGCAATTCGACTGAGAATTAATAAATGGGATTGATTTGAATCGAGACGAGATAGTTCAGCTTGTGTAAATCGGCAAAAACTTATAGGGAATTATGATCAATATTGATCAACGAAAAAAAGTGAGAGAAAGAGTTGTGACTGACCAAATATATCATAACTATTCGAAAATGTAAGTGAAACAATTTGATCAGGTCGAATAAGACGACACACAAGATCGAAGTGTCATTTGTGGGCTGATTTGAAATTAACCAAATAAGCTCTGTATTTGATTAAGAGTTTATAGATATTCTCACTCACATTCTGAAAAGAATACAGAATTTCATGAGCGCAAAAAAATTCGAAAATAATGTAAAGAATTTCGACAGGTAGAAGATCCAGAAGAAATGATGGCATAATTATCTACAGTCGATTGTCAATGCTATTTTAATGCTTTGCATATGAAGGAACAAGATTGGTCGTAAGATGATGCACAATTTATTCCATTAGAATCGTACGTGCTCGTCTGTTTTCAGAAGAACTTCACAAAAACAAAAAGTTAATACAAGATTCTCAGTAGCTGAACAAAAATTCTTTCATTATTTCTTTTTTTCTTCTCACGAGATCGTACCGTTATACCTGGCAATGAGCACAAGCGAGAGAGAAGAATGAATGAAAGAGTTCGTTTTCGTTGCACGCATTGCAACTTTGAAAAAAATCCATTGGTAAAACTAACAGCTCGATCGATGATTTCCTCGCTTGTCATTAGCTTTTGCCGTGTAATACGGACAACGTATTATTCTACCAGACTCTCATTGTCCATTTTAAAGACATTTATTACTCTTATAGATGGATTATCTTCATCAACATTCGAAATTCCATCATGATACCGACAAGGTGTTTGTCGTTTTCAAGAAAATATTGAAGACTCTCTGGACGTGTAATCGCTTCGAGAAATAGTAATGTCGATCTGATCGTCTCTCCCTTGTCTTGAAAATATGAAAAGAGTACCATTTTTCCATTCGTGTTGGCCATCTTTCTCAACAGTTGCATGTTTGCTGACTGAATGATGGAGAGATCAGTTAGCATCGGAATTTTTTCCATTAGATTCGTTTCAAAAATCATTTTATGAGATAATATGTGACTAGGAAATGACTTATGTTTTAGTTAATCTGAACTCTTCATGAATATAGATAATCAATTTTCGGTGAGTTATTTCAAACATGAGTGTGAGATATTCAAAAACAGAACAAAAAAAAACTATGTCGTTGTCTTTGATTTCTGTTTCATTTTTTCGATCGCTTTAAGAATATTCTGTTCGGTTCGAACGATATCTCGATGTGTCGGTGGTAGTATTTTTCGACAAATGACAAGAGATCTTTGAAAGTAATCTAATGCCTTGGCATGATCACCTGTACGTTCATTATGTAACCACCCAAGATTATTGTATGATGTGGCAATATCAGGATGATCATGTGGTAATGTAGCCAGTCGAATGTTCAAACATTTATTGTAATATTCGAAAGCCATTTGTACTTCATTCACCGCACTATATGTAATAGCCAAACGATTGTAAGTCGCTAGAAGATCTGGATGATCTGATGGTAAAATCTTTTCTTGTATGTATAGAGCTTTCTTCAAATTTTTTAATGCTTGATCGTATTGCTTTTTTCTCCAATAAATTAAACCCAAAGCGCTATACAATCTACCTTTTTCACTACAAATATCGGGAAGAAGTTTATCAATCAACGATAGAGCTCTTTGAGTATTATTCAAAGCTTCATCGTACTCATTTAACCAGTGATCAGCCCATCCAAGACCACTATATCCGATGCTTTCATCTATTTGAGCTTCGCAAATCATTCGTTTGTAACATTTTCGTGCTTGTTCATATTCGCCCATTTCAGTTAAAATTTTCCCCATAGAATGCAAATTTGTTTCATCGCCAATTTTTTCTTTCATATGAGCAAACGTCTCTTTCAAATGATAATTATCTTCGTTGACCAACGTCACATGTACAGTCCACAATTGCTTCTCGTTGTCTCTATTAACGGATTCTATTCGAAATAGTGCACCAAGCATAATAAGAACTTCATCTTCACATTTAAAATAACTTAGCCGATCGATATTACTAAAAGCTTTTGTCTTATCACGCGGATTAATATCGATTTCGAATAAGACCCGATCGATTTCTTCATGTAATTCAATCATCTTAAGAAAACTAAGAGCAGTTGAACGGCAAAGACTGGTTGAAAGAAATGAATTCATCGAAATATATTCACCTATACTTGATTTGATTAATTTCAATTCTTTGACATGAATTGCTTGTCCACGATAAACTCGAATAATATCACGTGTCGGCATTTCACGTAAACAACGATCATATTCATTATTCAATTGTTTTGATAGATCAGTAATAAAAAATCGAAGTAAAAAAAGCATATCGAAATCTTGAATACGTAATGCTTTATTCAAAATACGATAAAAACAACATTCACGCGTATACCACCAGATGGCATTTTCTGATTTGTAAGTCGATTCAAATTCATTAATAATCGAAAGTTCTAAAGAATTTTCTCGATAATTTTTTTTGCAAATATCAATGAGTTCTTGTGGTGCATTAGATGTGTGATGCATACGGAGAAGAACTTCAATGAATAATTGAAACCACATGAACATAGCATTACGACTTTCTAAAGATTGTGTACTGCTACTCATTATTGTAATAGTTGTTGACTCTTCGACTTTGATTCGAGTAATTTGATCTTGGGCAATTTGAGCAACGAGCTTTGATCGATTAACAAAAATACCTTTCACCTATGAATATAAAGCAATCGAACTGTCCGTAATTCAATATAGAACATAAGATTAAAGATATTTATATATGTTTCGGTCGAGCTCCTCGAATTTTATAAAATACTGTACGCCCAATTCAAACTGTTGTTTATTTTTCACACGATCGAAGGAGTGTGCTTTGAATATATCGTGTAAAACTACATCTAGCGATATGAGTTTGAAAATTACATGTAATTGTTCAGATATTCAAGAATCTGAATGACTGCTACAAGCAATCAAATCGTTAATGTGTGTCTATATGGCAAACTCTTATAGTATTACTGTTGATAAAAGCATTCTTTGACAAGATGCAACAAAATTTAACAAAGTACACTCTCTCATTTGAAAACAATGATGGCCTAATGTTCATTTTCACTTAAGCGTACTTTGTAATTAACGATTTTCAATTTATGCCAAAAAAGAAAATTTTCTCTATGAGTGATCAATTGTAGTGAGTCACATATGTTGCTGTTAATAAAATTCTTCGATGAAACAATGTAGAATTCATTAGAGTATCCGCTGGTTCATTCCAGAATAGAAACCATGAAAATGTTAATAACGATCCGATTAAGTTATTTCTATCTATACTTTATAACGGATGCTACAAGATAGATATCTAGGTCAAATGAAGTCATATCCACTCACACCCTTTTCACTAGCTAGTTATAAAAAAAAAGGAATGAGAGTCAATTGAGAGTATTCAATCTTGTCAAATTTCTGATTCAAAATGTTGACTAGATGCGTAACATACTTTTACATATTTGCTCGTCCATCGTTCGTTGGTTGCTTGATCTCGGCATAAAATATAGCATGCGCTAAACTGTGCAAGATCATGAATACGTGGAACTAATTGACGACCTAAGGTATCTGAACAGATAAGAACGATTTTCTCATGTATAATATTTCTGATGGCTTGTTCACATTCTTCAACAATATTGAATGTTTCTAAATGATTAATAATATGTTTCAGTTCTTCCAATGTTTTTCGATTATCTTCTGTTTTATAAATATCTTGATCAAGCCAAAAGCAAGCGAATATATCGATGTTCGAACTTGCAGATTCTGTTTCTTTTGTTGCATGGATTGATGATGAAAGACCTAAACTCGATGTGGTTGTTATTATTATCTTCTTATTTTATAGGAATGTTAATTTATCTTTACTTTATTTAATAAATGTTAAATATTTATATTTATAAAATAAAAAACTAAACGTATTAGCTTCCAATCGAAGACTCAGGTCAATCTAAGATCCGCCTAGACTGTTCTACGGTCCCAATTTGAATCATCTCCCACCTATTAGAACTTCCTGCAATAACAGAAGACCCAGATCTTTTGAAAAAAAACAATCGTTTAAAACTTTAAAACTTTTTTCGTTGAACTATTGCTGCATGGTGTTTATTGGAAAAAGAAGTTGCGAAAGAATAGAAGAGAAAGCAATATCTTATTTACATATAAAGGAAATATATTTTTTTTTTTGGAAGAAGAAAAAAACATTTTTCGCTAGAATGAACATGAGAGAAAAAAGGAACTATAAACAGAAGCGTAAATGGAGGGGGAGTTATAGAGTATCATTCCCCCTGCTTTAGAAATTTAACTACACAGTGCCTCTGTTTTTGGCACTTTTATTTGTTGAAAATCCTCTGTGATCCGCCTACGCTCCTTTGTCACGATGAAGATTCAAATTTTGATAATGGTAACAGTTCTAATTATGATTTAAATATTCAAATTACTTCGGCCGATAATGAATGCGAAAGTGATTTTTTTAGTACATTTATCTACATATCTTTAACTGAAACGTAAAGAAGACGATGGCTATTCAATAAAAAAATAGGGTCAACGATAAAGAAAATAAAAAGATGCGCTTCTATTTTTTGTCCAGTTTGAAAATATTCATTCATGATAAATGAATAAACATCATGAAGGCTCGAAATCTTTTATTAGATGATGAGAGGAACATTAATCCAAATTTGGGTCGAGCAGAAATTTAAAGTCATTATTCAATGTTAAATTCCGAACTTTTTTTTTTTGATGAACTTTGACGCAGTGATGATACTTCTTTCATGAATAGTTGGTTGATCATGATAGTCCGATTTAAATCATTATAAAATAAATATAGTTTTAATTTATAAAATCTGGATAAATGAATTCTTTATTTTTAAAAATTAAAGATAAAGTAATGAATAAAAAAAGACTTTTTTTTGTGCTAGATAAACAAACAATTATCTTATATCATAACAAGAAATGTTAATCAACGTTGTTTCTAATCACCAACAACACTTTCATATATTGTGTTGTTCTTTAATAAGAATTTTAGATTTCTATGATAGTATAAATTTTTGTGAGCTACTCGAAAGAAATAAAATATAAGTTTTTCGGAAAACAACTCTTTCTTTGGTGTTTTACTTGTCTTTCCCTTCCTCCCCTAGATCTCTCCAGACCTTAGCAAGCAGGAGATAGGGAAGTCAAAGTTTATAAAGATATGTTCTCATAGCAACAGAAAATGGCGCGTAAGCAATATCAGTACTTAGATCATTATAAAACTCTGTAGGTACTAATTGTTTAGTCTAAATATTACGTGTTTGGTTTTTTATGAAGTAAAAGGATACTATTGTAGATATCAATCACTAAGGCGGTCGTATTTTTGATCTAGTCGGGTCAGACGAAGACGGACATAGAAAAATATGAACTAATTGAGTTTTAATTTTAGGCAAAGTACAGCATGCTAACATAGCAGTTGAATCGACAAAACGGAAAGAAATAATTATATTTGCTGTTTTCTCTGGGAAGTATCTTGAATATGTTATCATTAGAACAGCATGAGTGACGTATTGAACATGTATCTGATAATACAAGTAAAGTTTTACAGTATGATGATGTTAAATAAGTCAATTGACGTGTTTAGAAAGTAGTTATTAATGCGAATATTTTTTGAAATGTTGAAATTTCAGAGTACGCGCAACAACTATAAAAATTCTTATAATTTTAATTTATTTATTTATGTGGTATTTTTTTNTAACGCGATTTGTATCAAAAATTCACCAATATCAGGTACTACCTTTTTATTACGACCATCTAATGCTGTTGTGAATTTTTCCACAATTTGATTAATTCTATAATCTAAAAATCAACAAAAAAAACAAATATGAACAATATTCTTTAACAAATTTATAGCTATTTTTACTTTACCTAATGCAGGAAAAAGATCAATAAAATGCATTAATAAACGTAAAAAATGGCAATATGCTTCTATCGCTTGTGTTGATTCATACATTTGACCATTAAATAAACGAACAGCTGATTTATTCATTAGAGTAGTCAACACACTCAATGCCATGTATGGCATAAAATCATATCTTGCACCACCTTGAGCAGTCCCATTGTAAATAACACTAATACTATTTTGAATAATTGTTTGTCCTTGTTGAAAATGATTCCAATTAATATACAAGGGCAACCAATGATTGTAATCTGCTCCTGTGACAGAACGAAATTTTAAATTTTCATAAAAATCTAATTTTTCTCCACCCGATTTCTGTATTTCTGCAACGTATGCGTCATAAGAAATAAGTTCCAAAACAATTTCTGGCCACAATCGACCACGATTATCACGTGTAACTAATAACGGATAACCAAGACAAATTTTATCTTCTATGACATTTTGTTTTGTTACACCACATGTTAATTTTTCCATTAGTTCACGCTTGGATTTCAATAGTTCTTCTTCTTCTTCTTTTTTCAACATGGTTTCTTCTTTTGTTTGTTTTTCATCTGACTTTTTCTCATTATAACCGATTATAGCCGGATTTGGATTGGCATACGAATGACCACATGTTGTACATGTGAAATTTTTCACCATACCACGGAGATGAGCAATGCTCTCTGAAGAGGGCTTAAAACTAAGATCAGGATCTGCAAAAAATGTAACGATTTGAAGGAGTGCTGTTGATAAAGTATAACCAGGACTAGAAATACGAGAGAAAATGATTGGAGAATTTATACAATGTCTACAACTCGTTTAGTTACCTCCAACCACTGGCTTGTTTGATGGTACCTCCATCGATAGCGCGAAAATAAGAAGCGTAATTCGTCAGTAAATCATTACACAAAGCATGTCCATTTCTGAAAGCGAAAGATACAAGTTAGAGAGTTCACTATCAAAACATAATCATACCTATAGTCTTCATGAATATGACCATGATATCTAGAATCGAATTCTAAGCCAGGTGCTATATTTCCAGCCGGACCTGTCAATGGATAATCTTCTGGAATACGAAGAATTAAATGAATCATGATTCCATGATAGGGTCCATCATTTATCAATACCTAAATAACAAGTCAATTATTTTTATGTGTGGATCAAATATTTGCTGAAATGCATACGTTGCAATGTAAAACAAATGGATTTGATTCATCAGGACAAGTAACACCGAGTCCAGGTATTGGAAGTTTGTTAAGATCTTTCAAATCTCTAAAAATATTCAACATATGCAAACTCGAATAATAAACACATTTATTAATATATCTCTATACCTTATTATTCGCTTTGTCGCAGCAACCTTCGTATTTTGTGGCTTGAAAGACATACTCATTGTGTTGCGAATAGAAGCTACTCATAATGTGAATAGACGGCATACTATTTATATGGTAAACAATTGGAAAAAACCTATGCTGATTGTTATTGCATATGAGCATGAAAACTAAATGTACATCATAAGTTATCACCATTGAAAGAAATTACCTGAAGTAATGATTCATCAAGCCATGCGCCATGTAAGCATCCAATGTTATTTCACAACACGAATGCAGTCATATTTGGATACTGTTACCTATTTTCTTTTCTCCTTTCAACGTTTTACATAATATTGATAAGAAAAGTCAAAAAGAGAACTAACTTGTATTGTTTTCAGACGCACGAAACTAATCAGAACCATTTCTTTCTTTGTTCAATGAGGTATTAATCAACAGGGTGTGGGTATGGGTGTGGGTGTGTGGGTGTGATTGCGGATGGCGGTGGATGTGAGTGTTGATGTCTGATAAAAACTAGGCCCACACCCACACTTAGCCATATCCGATGCCCATATCTTACCTTGACGACATTGAGAAAAGGGAACCACAACCGAGTGGTAATTGATTCTGAAGACCTTTCAGGATCGAGAAAATTTGTGTATGACACGTTGATCCAGACTTTCGGTCATTTTGTCTGAAGAAAAAATCGATTCCTGGTAAGATCTTCGTCAGATTTGTCATCGTTCTTAAGTGACAACAATTTGGATTCTAACTAGGACTTCTGCTGTACTTTATTATTCTGAGGATAAAGATTAATAGTAGATGATGAATATAAACGCGAATAAGAGGAAAAGTAGTGTCTTTAAAAGTACTCAGCAAGTTAATTGATTTTACGTATTCGCTTCAGGATCAGTTCCCTTCTATAACCAAGCATTGTTTTGCGCTTGGAATTCCCAACTTAAAAGAAAATCGGTGACAAAAATGAAGGAGCAATGCCATGAGAAGAGTTGGTGCAATAACGTATGAGCCATAGAAAATTATACGAATGATTGTTTCGTATTTACGCATCATGGCAGGTATCGGATGCAAACCATCGTTGATAATTGTGGTGAATGGATCATGCTCATTTCCAAGCAACCATCTTGTTAGACGATAGTAAAGTCGAATGGGTGTGAACACACGGTGAAGAACTTCAGGCGATGCTCCAAGACTAGACGAAGTCGAAAGCATATACTTAGAGCACATTAAAAGAAGTGTCCTTTGCTAATAAAATCCCGCAAGGTAGAGTTAACAGAGCTTTTGTTTCAGTAAGAATTTGACCTACGTAGTAGCTGAGAATTGCACATTGGATAGCTAGCTACTTTTTATTGCTAAGATATTTCTGCAGTAGTTGTTCACATTCGGTCATATGTTTTATTGCCATTTGGTATATCTTCATTTATACTATACTTTAGCTCACAAGATCTTTTTTGGTCGTGTTTATGAACACAGTTATAAACGACCAACGAATAACTTACTATTGTCGTTTCCAAAAAGCAATGAGTATGACTGTTTTTTAGATAATTTCCCATAGGAAGTAGATAGAGATCTACGGTCTTCATCGTTTCAAAGAGAGGATAAAACTACATCGAATCTTGAATACCAGAATTTTCTGACAAATTTTCTCAGGGTCTATCGCCAAGATTCTTTAAAAACAACACATTGTATAATACACAAGTTTTAGTATTTTAATTTTTAGTAGTATACTAGAATCCTTAACAAAAATTTAATAATCTACGAAAGTTTGATGTTCAAATGATACAACAATCATGAGTTATTAACATTTTACTACCTGTTATCGACAGATTCTCCGCAAAAACTTGACTTTTTTTCTGATATTTTGACGAAAAATCCAGCTTCCAACCCTATTTAAAAGCTTTGATGGAAGACCCTGAAAAAGATTGTCAGAGAAGCCTTGGATTCAAGATTCAATGCAGTTTTATCTCCTCTTTTAAGCAGTGAAAATCATAGGTCTCTATCTAGTTTCTATAAAAAGTTATTCAAAAAAACAGCCACACCCATTACTTTTGGAAAACGACAATAGTTACTTTTAACAGTAACTATTGTCAGATGTTTTTAAATGCCAACCACCCATTTTCGAATACCTTTCGATCAGTTCGAGTAAGTTTTTCATTACTATTTGCAGGTAGAAAGTTTTTTCGTTGCCGCTTTCTACAAGCTTTCATAGCAATCTATGCTCAAATTACACCAAATATTGCGCATAAAATTTCAAGATTTCAGAACACTTCCCATGAAACATGAATCCAGAATGAAAGTAAAAAAATTGGACAGTTATATAGAGAATACAACCATCTTTCAGCTGTATTTTTGTGTAAATTCAGAATAGATTGTCACGAGAACTTGTTGCAAATTGCACCAAAAAATATGTCCATCTGCGAATATCCGTGAAAAATTTGTTCTAACTCAATCAGTAATACAAGCATAAAAGCCCACAGCATTGTTTTATCCAATAATAAAAATCCAACTTTGATAGTTAGAACTCATCGAAAGTGATTCAAAAATCGGTCGTTAACATTTTTAAAAAAATCGACAAGCATAAGTGACTTCTAGATTCATCATAAGTAGTCTCATGATCAATATTAAGAA